TTATTATTATTATTATTATTATTATTATTATTATTATTATTATTATTATTATTATTATTATTATTATTATTATTATAAAATAAACGTTAAAGTGTATAAATGTATTTGTTTATTTGTTGACTAGATTTGAGAGAGATATAGAAATGACGATCGATGGGAGAAAAAGAGAAAAAAAATTTTGAAAAGAAAAAAATATTTGATTCTTTTATAAAGTTTTTAGATCATATATATATTATATATAATTTAGTCTTAAACAATACAAATTTAATAACTAATTAATTAATTTAATTTATTTTTTAATTATTTGTTTTTATTTTGATTGCCATGATAAATAAAGTTTTTATTTTTTATGCTAATCCTAGGGAGATCTTAAACGAGAAAATATTTTAATATTTTTGAAATTAAGGCCTGTTGTCTATAATGGATGGTTTACTTTATTATTATTTTGATTACAGGGTAAATATTTTACGATTTATTATTGTTGTCCAGATATATGAGAGAGACTGTTGTTCGTTTTAGTGAGGAATTAAAAATTAATATCAGTTATAATATGATTGATCATTTGATCACATTAACCATTGTTCTTTTGTAATATACATACATAACATTAGCTCAAACTTTAATGTTGTTAAATGATTGGTTTAAAATTCATTATTGTTTAAAAAATGATAAAAACCATTTAATTTAATTTAATATTGCGTCACCATTTCATGGGTTGACAATAATTGTATAATAATATAAACATTAAATGGGGGAGAACGTTTCATTGTTTTTATACTTTGATATTTTAAATTGCTTATTCTTCAAATTAAGAATTATCGACATACGTTTTTGTGCGATTAAATTAATATCAGTTATAATATGATTGATCATTTGATCACATTAACCATTGTTCTTTTGTAATATACATACATAACATTAGCTCAAACTTTAATGTTGTTAAATGATTGGTTTAAAATTCATTATTGTTTAAAAAATGATAAAAACCATTTAATTTAATTTAATATTGCGTCACCATTTCATGGGTTGACAATAATTGTATAATAATATAAACATTAAATGGGGGAGAACGTTTCATTGTTTTTATACTTTGATATTTTAAATTGCTTATTCTTCAAATTAAGAATTATCGACATGTTTTTTTTATCTTTATATTATTAAATTCTTAAATAAATATTAAAATATTAACAATGATATATATAGCATGTGTATGAATGGCATGTATACTATATTAGTTATAGATTATAAATATAACGATGGCTATTTATTATCGTCAAAAAAAAAAAATACTTACATCTCTAATCTAATTTTTTTATTCATATAAATCGTTGCGTGGATTAATCCTTGTATAATGTAATTAGTAAATTCATGAGTATGGAATATAACGAAAGAATCTCTCTGGTTGTTAATATTTACAGTAAGGTCCTTTTTGCGATATATATTAATATGCATATTTGTTTTTTTATAATTTATTGATTTTTTAGTAACTATACGTTGTATAAACAATATATTAATCTCAGCCTGATTAATGAATGCGGTACATTATTAAAAAAATATTTGAAGTTACAAAATGTGAGAATGCGTGAACTATTTTAGTTATAAAAATATATTACTCATTAATTAAATTATTATTCCATTTTTTTCAGAATATTCCTTAATTATATTCAGTTATATAATGAATCTAAATAAATTATTCGCGTAACAACCCTGAATAATTCAAACTTTTGAAATAAAAACTAATTAAGCGATTAAATTAATTTTAACAAAAGGATTTGGATACGTGTAACATGCAAAAAGAAACCACATTCAATGCGCAAATTTGATTGTAATTTATTAAAACCAAATAAAAAAAATTTTAATCATATTATTAAAATCACTATGTAACAAATTTCTCTTTTATTATTATCTCTCAATTACTATAGTAAAAGACATAAAAGGTACTTTGTATTACAATAAGGATCATTATGAAATATAAAAAATGAATTAATATGTTTATAATAATAATAATCATATAAAATTATCCTAATAATTTTTTTTGATAAACACTATTTTTACTACTTGATATTAAAAATAACTTGAGCCGATTCAAAAAAAAGAAAAAAAATTTTTTTTATCACCATTATCACGTGCAGATCATCTAAAGTCATCTAAAAATCTCTTAATTTTCTAAATATGGGCTATTTTCATCAGATGCTCTCTCTATATTTGCAATATTATAGACTTGAAAAGTGATGTAATTGAAATTTTTTTGAGTAAAAAAAAAAGGATATTTTTACGATTTTTGTCGTAAGTGCGCAGCAAATTACGAGATAATTTTTTTTGTTTTACCAAAATTTCTCATTTAAAAAATTGAAAAATAAAAATGAAGGTTTTTTTTTACTTTAACATTTATAATAAATTATTTGCAAAATGATAGAGAATCATTATTCATTTGTACGTTGGTTTCAAGAACTTGACGAATATAGTTGTAAGAGTTTTATGATGTCTTTAGATGATTCGTATCATATCATTTAATGCGTCAAATCCGCAAATAGGTGTAACATTGAAATTTAAGACTCTTTGAAGGATATATTCGGAAATTAATATTTACTCGTGTTTCTCAGAAATTAAATATATAAAAAATCTAATCTAAATCCATTTTATTAATAGAGCTAGAGGTTTAAAATTTTCCCGCCAGTAATCTTTTACTTTATTTTCAGTCTATAATGGCAATTAATAATTCTAGAACATTTATAATTTGTTTCTTTGGGGAGTTCCTTTTCTGCAACAGTTGTTGTATATCTGCTTTTTTTCTGGTAAAAAAATTTCTGACAAGATAAGCGAGCTGGAGAATGATGTATTATCAATATTAAGACTGTTTTCTATTTTAATCCCAATCATCATAGGATCAGATATCAGAGTACTTTATCTCTCTCTTTTTTTTTCTTTAAAAATATCAGTATATTTGTAGCATGCACCATGTCCTTTAATAGCAAGTTTTTCGGCTTCGAACACTTTTTGATTGATGTATATGATGCCTTTTTCATAACATGTAAATAATGCTTAATTGGTGAATCTGCATTTTTTATAATAATAATAATAGAAATTCTATTATTCTTTTTGTGCTTTTATGCACAGTGCAGATCATGAAAAAGGAAATTTAAATTGTATATGCTTTTCGTTAATACATTATGTAAATAACTGTTATTTGAATAAAAAAAGGGAAATTCACTTGTCTCAAATTCCTTAAGTGCATAACAAAATTTGGAATTTTCAAAATGTCAAGCAAGACTCAACCAATTTTTAGTTTGAGAAAAAACTAGCCGACAAATTTTGAAGCTTGAGTCAATAAAACTTATCGGTTAGCTTTATAAAAATTTTTGTTTTAGTATTTTGAAGCGTCTCACGGGTATCTTTTTGTTAAATAAAAATCATCCCAAAATTCACAAAAAATTTTCTATTATATATAACGTTTAATAATGAAATTAAAAGAATGTAGTTTTAACAGGTTAAAGTTGGAAGCAGGTAGTTTCGTTATAGTCTTGATCGTTATTATAAAATATATTTTTTGAAGCATTTTTTGAACCATTATCGGATGTAAAAGGGTTTCCCTTCTTCTATTCAAGTGTCCACCATTTAAATTAAATCAAAGAACAACAAATAAATCAAACTTTTGGCAATTGTTCCTTGAGTTACAAAAACTTTACAAGAATGTTGTGCATTACATGGCACTTGGAGATGGTACTCCAAAAATGCTCAATATATGTTTTTCTACTGGTAAAGAATGTATTGTTTTTTTGCAATAAAGGCACTTACGAAATTAGATGAGGCTTTTTTCAATTTCAAAAATTTTTTTTGGGATGCAATACAAGCTCATGATAATGCACAATTGCCTGCTTAGTACGATTTTAGCAATTATCGACATTATAATATGCAAAGATACAGCATTCTACCAATTTTGAAAATGTATTTTCGCCCACGAAAATTTTGAATAACCATCATCCACATATAATGGTGTAATTATATTTAACAACTTTTTTATTTATTTATTTTTTTAAAAAAATTGATCAATGATTAAAAAATCAGAAAATATTAATTAGAGAAACAAAAGAATTTAAAATAAATCGCAAAGGTGAAATTTTAAGAACTAATCTTAAAAATTTTTGATCGTTGTCTCCATGTTATACTGCCATAATGATTTTTGACATTGTTAATTCGATGTCTGTCTTCTAGGGAATTTTCAAGTGGAATTCCTTAAAGTCGTTTGTGAAATAAAATAATTTATATCATGGTTCGTCCTTGGCTTTTTCTCACAACATTTTCATGGAAAAGCTGATTAGTATAAAAAATATTTATATTTACTTTATTTATTTTAAAATTGCGTTAGTTAACTTTTTATTTATATATAACGATAAGAATAAAAATATTTTTGAATGTAAAAAAGTAACATTTGAAAAGGTACCATAGGTATTTCATCTAAAGAATTCAAAAATAAAGAAAATCCCTTTTGGTAGATTTTTTGATATACTTGACCTTTACTTTTTCACAATAGCAGGAGGCTTTAACTTGTGCGGCATCTTGAATATTATTTGCAACAAAGTTAATATTAGTAAAACTCACTGAATTGTTTTCCTTAAGTAAAGTTGCTGCCGTTTGGAAACTTGGAAGAGAGGCATCAAGCGTAGAGACTTTCCACCATGGTTTGAATGAAAGAATGAACAAATAGTAAGAACGAAGATTAATAGATAATGAATTCGAGTCAACAATAGTTTATCAAAAGTTTTCGCGGGGGACTGTGGAATAACTATTTCTGCTTAATAAAATTTTCCATCAGATTTTTTTATTATTACATACCAGATGTCAACACCTAGACTCTGAAAATTCATCAAGCTCTCTTCTTTAAAAAAAAAAGAGCTCAAATACAACTTGAGAAGATTAGCAAGCTCTCTCACCCATCTTGAAATTTTCATTGCGTTGTAAACGTTTGGACAAAGAATATTATTTATAATTAATATATATATATATACGCAATATATCACGTTGTTAGTGTGAAACTGGTGAAGGCCACATTACTATTATTATAATTAAAAATAAACATTGCTTTACATTTTAATGAGTATTAACGCCATCATCTCCAAAATTGTCTGATCCTTTATTGTAGGTGATGATCCTGTAGAAGTAACTCGATTATTAACAGTTTTTTTATAGTAATGTAGAAAAGTTGTATTATTAAATCTGTCAAGTCAAGACATTTGTAAAAACATTACGATCTAATATCTAATACAATCAAAATTTTAATA